GACTCACCTCACTCCACGCCGCCCCTACAACCTACTCCTCAGCTTCCTATAGCACGCCTCCTACCTATCTTCGCAGAGTCTCGCACAATTCAAAGAAACCTAGAACCCACCAAAGCAGCTGCCATGGATCAAATCAAAGCGGTAAGTGTTGCTGTGCCCCTCTCACCATACTATGCGCTGTCCCGCCTACGTGCACATCTCCTGTTCGCGTCTAGGTACTGTCGTACAACCCTTGAAGACGCTCTAGCACGAACGAAAGCAAGCAAACAGAACTATATCGCTAACATGTGAATGCTTTAGCGCATGGCGGCTCTCCGTGTCGAGGCGGACGCCAACGCCTCACAGGCCGAAGAGTTCAAGGCCAGAGTCAAGACACTCGAATCCGAGAACCTCGCCAAGGAACAAGAGATCACATCTCTATCACACAAGAACCAGGTACTTGAAGAAGAGGTTGAGAAGCTCGAGACCAAAATCAAGGAATACAAGGGCATCGCGGACGAGAGTTCGCACTCAGGGAGGAACGCTGAGGGCTTACAACGCAAGGTACAGCTGCTTGAGGAGGAGGCCGAAGAAGCCGACCGCAACATCCGAGAACTCAACGAGAAGTATGGCGTCCCTCGAATGGCTTTGGACCTTCATCTCCACAGCGCAATGTAACTAACTGGGTGTCCAGGCTGCGCCAGACCGATGTGAAGTCCGGACACTACGAACGCAAGGTGCAAGCTCTGGAAGCAGCGAAAGATCAATGGGAGACCAAGTACGAGGAGCTGCTCAAGGCACACGAAGCGACAAAGAAGGAGTTGGCGGACTTTGTCGCCGAGATCGGCAACATCTAGTCTTCTTCTTCGTTGCGATGTTGATGGATGGTGAGCATGGATTTGGGCGTGGATTGCGGGGGACTTATATCTCTTACTGTTCGGATGGTAGTGTCTTCCTGCTAGGGTCTGATTGCAGGCTGAGCCCTATGACGCCCTGTTGGTAGAACTGTCACCTCTGTCAATACCAAGCATTCCCTCATGAGGGTGGTGGCTCTTTTGTTGCTCTTTGGAGGCTTTTGAGTAAGCATGGTTTTGTTCTATGATAGTGGAAGTCACACAATGATTGGGTATTCGATAAGCTAATCTCGACGAGCCTTTGCCTGCGATCTATTCTTTGACCGTTCCTTGAACCTGGTGACCTTCCGTTCCGATTTCGTCTCGTACCGGAACTTGACCTTTCTCTTTTTCGGCTTGTCCTTGTGTGGATTATCCTTAGTCCATACACGCTTCTTGCTCTCTGCATCCTTCGATGCCGCATCTCCAACCTCTTGAGTGCCACCCTCCTCCTCCGGCTTGCTGAATCCGCTCTTACTTATATCCACACTCTCGACCGTGACTGATGTGTACTTGTCCTCGTCAATGTATTCCTCTTCCCGATCTATCGGTGGTGGTAGCTCTTCGGCGATCCCTTCCCACTCGTCCTCATTTTCGTCATCATCCGTCTCCTCCCCACCTTCGCTCATATCGCCGCTCGCTTTCTTCAGTAGGGCATTTACTTCGTTTACATGTCGTTCCAAGTCATCTTTTCGCTGTTGCCGTATCTATACAGGACGAGTTAGTAGTTGTTCATGTAAATGTATAAAGCAATTGATCTTTTCCGTAGTCCAAGGCCAGAGATGCTCAGATCGCCGTAAATCAGTAATCGTAATTACCATTCGCCTAGCTTCGACCTTCTCTTGCTTCGCCGTCTTCGCAGCTTCCTCCTGCGCACGCTTTGCCCGCGCAAGCTTGCGTTTGTGGAATCCAGTGAGGTATTCTTCGCGTGCGGCGAAGTCGAAGGTGATTTCGGCCACCGGCGCAGTTTTCTGGCGCTTGGCTGGTGGTTTCATCGTGGAATATCGACCTCCGAGAGGGTTAGGAAATTGGTGGAGTGGACTTTGGTTGTTCGAGGTCGATTCGAGGTTGGAGAAAATATACTGCCAAGAGAAGGGTCTGGATTAATGTTGATCCGACATGATTTGACTTCTTGAATTACACTCGAAGCTCGACGACTACTTCAAACTATAGCCTATTGAATGTGATCGAGATCTCTGGGTTTTGAACGCATGAGCTTGTGGGATATCGCGTTGTAATAGACGTGATCGTGTAAATATCGCGACGAACTCACATTTCTGGCGTCCTTTGCTCTCAACTCTAGGACCCCCAAGGTTGCACCATAGCTATCTTTTAAGTTTGACAGCGCCTGTTCACAGCTCTACCTTACATCATGGAGTCCGACGGTCTCATGTCTCCGCGCTCCACGAAGCGGTCGCGCTCAGAGATGGAAGAAGACGACGTAAAACCCGTGAACCCTCCAGCCAACGAAGACGAAGGTATGTTTACTTGACCTAACCTTACAACTCACGCTTACAAATGTTTCAATAGACACCTCTTCGGATGACGACGACTTCGGCCCCGCGCTCCCCTCCACAGCCCCGAAGAAGAAACGCCGCAAGCTTCCCTACGAAAAGCTCTACATCGCCGCTCTCCCCACTGCAGGTCGCTATGTCAAATCGTTGATGCACAGAGAGCAATTATCCTTTACGACCTTCACCCCGTATACCGATTTCCTGATCACCTCTTCCGTCGACGGCGTAGTTAAGTTCTGGAAGAAAGATTTCGGTGGCATCGAATTCGTGAAGGAGTTCCGGGCGCATAATGGCGAGATCAAGAGCGTGAACGTAAGCGCGGATGGGCGGAGCTTTGCCACAGCGGGTGCGGATAAGACGGTCAAGATCTTTGATGTAGTCACGTTTGATCTATTGGCGATGTTGACACTGGAGTACGCGCCGAAGTGTGTGTGCTGGGTACATGGGCGCGGAGCTTCGTTCCCGCAATTGGCAGTCTCGGATGATGAGAGTTCATGGATACGGCTATACGACGGACGAGGCGAGAATCAAGAGCCGCTACATATTGTCAAGAGCTTGCATAGGAGACCGGTGCATCTCATGGCCTATAACAACGAGTACGATTGTGTCGTGTCTGCTGATGAGGGGGGAATGGTGGAATATTGGAGGGCGAGTGGGACCTATGAGAAACCGGACAATGTTTTCGAGATCAAGAGTTCTACCAATCTATTCGACTTCAAGAAGGTAAGATATCACGTTGAGTGTCGTAGCCCCTATATCTAACTCCTTCTAGTCAAAATCAGTGCCCTCGTCAATCACGATATCACCAACGGGGCATCAGTTCGCAACTATGTCCTTCCCTGATCGAAAGATTCGAATATTTGATTTCAAGTCTGGCAGACTATACCGCACTTACGACGAATCGATAGAAACGATCAGCGAGATGCAGCAGGCCGGAACTGCGATCCAAACCTTGGAAGACGCCGAGTTCAACCGGAAACTGGCAGTCGAGAAAGAGCTGGACACCGCTGCTGTCCGGAGTCGCATCAATGTTATCTTTGATGAGACAGGCAATTTCATTCTCTACGGTTCGATTCTCGGAACAAAGGTCCTCAATACACTCACCAACAGGGTGGTAAAGGTATATGGCAAAGATGAGCCATTTAGAGCCTTGAACCTCGCCCTCTACCAAGGTCAGCCAGAGAAAAAGGGGATCGTCACTGTCGCTATGGCAGCCAGTGACAATCCATTGCTGCAAGAAGCCGAAGCACGTGATGCCATGCTTGTCTCCACAGGCGTAGGCAAAATGCGCTTCTACATGTTCACAAACGACCCCAAGTAAGTCACGACACCCTGAAGTCGCTCAGAACGCATTGCTAACCATCCCAGCGCCTCAAAATCCGAGCGCGACGTCCAAAACGAGAAACCCCGCAACATCAACACCAAGCAGCAGGTCGAAGCGAAGCTTGCCGCAACAGGCACTTCTGCCATCATCCACACTACCTACGGCGACATCCATATCCGCCTCTTCCCCGAAGCCGCGCCCAAAGCCGTTGAGAATTTTGTCACTCACGCCAAGAACGGTTACTACAACAACATCATCTTCCATCGCGTGATACGCAAGTTCATGATCCAGACAGGCGACCCTATGGGCGATGGGACTGGCGGAGACAGTATCTGGGGGAAGAATTTTGAGGATGAGTTCTCGACGCTGCGGCATGACAAGCCGTACACTGTTAGTATGGCGAATGCGGGACGGAACACGAATGGGAGTCAGTTCTTTATCACGACCGAGAAGGCTGTAAGTACCATTTCCGTCACACTCCACTAATCAAACTAACAGACTACTGTAGTCCTGGCTTGACGATAAGCACACGATCTTTGGACGAGCAATTCAGGGGCTGGACGTTGTGCACAAGATCGAGAATGCGAGGGTGTACAAGGAGAAGCCGGAGGAGGAGATCAAGATCATAAACATCGATGTGGTATAGCTGGATTTACCACTCCGCTTCTTGATCTTTCATTACCTGCTCCAAGTTTCGAAAACCCCCTAGCCATAGTCACAAGCATGGATAAAATAGGGCGAAGAACAGTTGTATAATTTGAAGAGTGAATGCGCAGCTTTGAGCAAAATGATGTCACACTATAATGTTAACTGCCTGAGGCAGGTGTGAAAGCTCGGAAACATCCCCAGCGAGGGGTTCATATACCTTTTATCTTCGAGCAGCCCAATGTCGAGAGGAGAAGTGGATCACTCAGTGGTTCAGCAGTCATGATTTCTCCTTGAAGCCTGGGTTAAAAATGTACTCGCGTCGTTGAACCGCCCACCCCTCTCACATCTATATGTTGTGGAGGGTTAGAGGTTTTGTGGTTCGACTCTTAGTGAGGTTGATTTTTTATATTTTTTGGGGGCTTTTTAGAGACTGCCTCTTCTACCCGCAACCCTATCTCTCTCAAATTCAACAAATTCACCGGTGCGATTTGTTTTTCGAAGCGTTCAATGGACTCTATTCCTTGAAGTATCATTCCACTCGTGATGTTAGCCGTTGCATCACCTCCGCAGTCCCCGTGATCATCTCGACCCTTCTAACACAATCCATTATAATGCTAGTCCAGCGGAGACGTCAACATTCAATCCGGTGTGGTGTAGTCGGTTATCATTATGGGACCCCACGCCCAGAGACCCAAGTTCGATCCTTGGCGCCGGACCTCAATGATGTTGTGTAATATGTTCTTTTGCTTTTGCTGCTTGTAGAATCAAAGTGCAGCATAACACATCACACATGAGACAAGCAAGATGGAGGCACGAAATCTTTTTCAAGGCTGACGCACGCGTCAGATTACTTCATTGGTAGGGTTTGAATATCCTCGGGTCTAGGGATTCCGGTACTATAAAACGCAGGAGAGAAAACTGACACCAACACCAAAACACCGGTACTTCGCAGTACAAGAAAAGGCCTCCCTTTACGCTACCATCCACCACGCGCCGCCAAGGATGGCGATGAGCACAAGGGTAGTGAGGAAGCCGGCGCCAACCTTGTCACCAGTGTCGATAGGGTCCGCCTTTAAGGGGTTGTCCTCGCTGTGCGATCCTGCGTTTGGGTTTCCTTTGCTGATGCCGCCCGTCTCGTTGCTCACAGGCCCGGCAACTTGGTCGATCAGGATGGATTGGACGACCTCCAGCGCGGACATCTGCTCGCCGACGCCGAAGCTGCCGTCCCAGACGCCGTTGGTGGTCCATTTCTGGCCGCACGTCACGCCGTCAGTGCCGCCGCTGCACTGTTTGGCGGCAGCCTGTGCCGAGGCCTCGAGCTTGGGCATGATCAGGTCGTGTGTCCATGGCGCAACCTTAGTGGTGGCGGCCATCCAGCGAGCGAGGTAGGCCTTGAAAGACCTCTGATCGACGTCGCATTTGCCATTCGCTTCGCAGGCTACTTCGGTCATGACGTTCGGAACCTCCTTGGAAAAGAAGACGTCGGTGCCGTTGATTATACCGGCGGTTCGGGTCTTCCACTTATCCTCACCGGTCTGTGATCTGTTAGCGCCATCAGGAAGTCGGAGACACGGGGTAACGTACAATATTCCACATGGTAGCCGCGCCAAGCATGAAGACACCGGCGTTGTATGTCCATTGGATGTGATTGACTTGTGTGCAGTTGATAGTGTCGTCTGAGCCGTCGAAGAAATGGTATTGATCGTTCATGAGACCGACGCCTTCGACCCAATCCCACATCCTGTCTGCCCAATCAACATAGGTCTGATTCTTCGTGTACCTTCCAAGCCTCGCCGCAATATTGAAGAAGCAGCCGTTCGAGATGGTGTTCTTGTAGTTGTAACCATTGTTGAAGGTGAAAATCTGCCATCGCAGACCACCGTTGCAAGTGCTGTTATCCCAGCGGTTCGCCTGTAGATTGAAGACAGCCTGTGCTAGGGCGAGCCATTGGGGCTTATCCGCAGGAGGATTCGGGAACTTTACTTCTGCGGCGGACATTGCAGCCATAGCCCAGAAAGATTGATCGTCGTTACCCTCCGTCTTAGTCTGATTCGGCGGCATGTAGTCGTCGTTTGGCCCCACCTGGAACAGCATGGCTTGTGTAGTAATGTCGTTGTATTGGTCGTCTCCCGTGTAGTACCAGTAGTCTATCAATGATCCGAACATGGCTCCTGCTTCCCACCAGTAGTACGGTTGCGGAAGATTTCCTGGGACGTCTCCAGGATTCATGCCGGTATAGTAGCTCGTCATTCCCTTTGCAATCGTGCTGGCAGCCTTCTTAACAGTGTCTGGATCGTGTTAGTGCCACAGTGCCCGCAGGGGGCATGCGGACGAGGGCGCTCACCCATATTTGTAATGTCCATGTCGATTGCTTGCACACTTGAAGCAGAGAGCATCAAGGCGCCTAGGGCCCCCGCCACATTGGTGAACTTCATTATGCTATTCCAAGATCTGAGGCGCCTGTCCCCAAATCTAAAGCTGGCAGTTGTTTATATTTCAGATTCGCGGGCGCTATCAACGCGCACTGGCGGGCGAATTCCAAGCAGGAGCGGCAGATTTCGTATCAAAGTCGTCGAAGTGAAATACAACAAAGCGTAGATCCTAGATCCTGGGCTGCAGTAGTCAGGGTAGGTACACGCGTAGGTGGTAGCGAGTGGAAGCAGCGTGAGAGGTCTTGTCAACGGCGCAGAAGCGATGGTGGTGGTTATAGGGGACGGCCGGGACAGTCGAGGAGGTCTATCGTCAGTTGAGAGAGCGTGGAGAGGAATGAGCGTGGGTTGCAGTGGTGATCCAGGGGGAGGGTTGCAAGATGTTGCTGCCAAGCTGCCAAGGGGTCTTGGGAAGATCAATACGAGCTGCTAAGTCAGCGAATTTTAGAGTTTCTAAAGTATGTAATCCGCTAATCTCTTCCTGTGAAGGTAGCCTTGCCGGTTGCGAGCAGCTGGACACCATGGCCGTCGTCGGAAGGGGCGTTTTGATACGGGAGGTTGCAGCGGGCTCGCAGTGCTTTGTTGCTGCTTCAGTGCTGCATCGGGTGTCTCAGCGGTGCTTCAGCGTGCCATCAAGAGCCGGCCGTGGCGCGTGGCCAGCCAAGCAAGCCAGCGAGGGCCGAGAATAGCAGCACCTGGGCAGAATGCTCCGCCAGCTCCGGAGACGTTGCTGGCTGGTGCTGGTGAGATTTTCTGTGGCAACAAAGACGACCAACGCCCGGCGCTGACGCAGCTCCCCAGGGCTCCCGAGACTTGCCTCCTCACGTGACCGTGGCCGCCGTGGCACAGTCTACCTACGTACTACGTAGACTGTTCAGAATAACTGTGCTTCTACAAACACAAATACACACACGCCCATCCACTGTTTGAGACCACTCCCATTGCCGCAGCATTTTGGCGTAGAGACCAAAATCAACTCAGCCTCAGCTCACACCAGCCTGCGACCAGATAGGTTTCGCTCGCCAAATCGACCTGGCCAAGAGCTCACCACTTCCTCATCATTCACCACCACCCTCACCTCTCCAACCCACGCCGCCATCGTCTGCCACTACAGCCTCGCATCTACCATCCATCGCTCTCGACTCCTCCACCCCGCGAATCTCGTAAACCACATCAGCAGCCATGGCCGACCGTGAGCAACCCTACGACCCGTACATCCCATCTGGAGGCGCCAACCCCCAGGCCGGTGGCGCAAATCAGAATGGCAACCATCGCACAGCTGCCCTCCAAGCGGTAGGTTATGCTCCTCATCTCCCGGCACAGTCCTCAGTCCTGCTCGAGTGTATCCGCGTTGAATGAGCGGGGCGATACTCGCGAGTCTCGAAACGGTCTGCGGCTGCGACCGCCGCTTCCACGGTCGCATTTGTCGAACACAGCCCGCGCGGCCACGTCCGGCTAAGGTCCTGCTATTCAGCTAGAGAAATCTGCGGAGTGGCATTCTTGACGGATAGGGGCCGTTGCGGGTGAAGAGACGGATGCGCTCGTGGGCGACATGCCTCGCAGGCCCGCAGTATCGCCCTTCGCAAGACACCGAGCATACCCGTCGAGTCGCGAGGATGCTCGGCTCCCAATTACTGCCTCTACCACTCATTTTACCCACTTTGCAGGAGCCTCGGTGTTCAGCTCATCAAAGTGCCAAGCCGCTGACATTCACTCTAGGAAATCGACAGCACTGTCGGAATCATGCGGGACAACATCAACAAAGTCTCCGAGCGAGGCGCCCACCTAGACTCGCTACAGGACAAGACGGACAACCTCGCCGTGTCAGCCCAGGGCTTCCGACGCGGCGCCAACAGGGTCCGCAAGCAGATGTGGTGGAAGGACATGAAGATGCGCATGTGCCTCATCGTGGGCATCATCATTCTTCTCATTGTCATCATTGTACCTTCAGGTAGGAATCCCCCGCTCCTCTAGCACTCCCACGACTAACACTAGCGCGCAGTCGTTGCTTCCAAACACTAAGAATGGAGAGAGATCGGGAGTGCAGTGGCTAGTTGAATCACATTGGGAAGAGAGTAGCGGGAGTACACCTACGGCTGCCCAGCTGGACATGCGCTCGTTGCTAGCTGGTCTTGGTTGGAAGGGGGAACTTTCGGGACTCCACACCCCGCCCGGAAAGTTGTTGTAGCTTTTACGTCCTCGGCGAAACTGGGAGCTCTGGGTTCTTTTTTCTTTTCATAGGTCTTTCACTGCATTCAGTCACGGCTTGTAGTAATGGAGTCATTCTTGTACCAACCACCCGATTCCCTGCACTGCCGTGCTTCTGCGGAGACTAGGTACACGTGCCTAGTCCCCTTGTTTTATGGTTTGGTTCAGCGGGCTTGTATGTCACTCAGAGAAATGGAATTTGCATTTAATGAGTTAGCAGGACTTGGTTTTGATGATGAGTCGAAACACCACCGAATATGTCACCGCATCGAGTAAAGGTTGTTTCAACACCCCAATATGCACCCTACCCGACTCCCTCTGCGCACGTGACCCAGCGCCGCTGTGGTACGAATTATGGCCCCCATACCGTTTTGTAAGCCCCACAAGCTCAAGCTACTTTCCAGGGAGTATTTTCCGCCCCTGTGTTAATGCAGAGTGTGCTATTCTACTGAAATGGCCGACCTCTTACTTTTTCGTTTCTTCACGCCTTTTTCCTATTCCACATGATTAGAATCCTAAACCTCAAAGATTAGAACTTCTCAAAGTCAAAACCAAGGTGCAAAGAAGAGGGACCTAGACAGTCGATTCACGGCAGCCATGCGAAATGGTTTCTCTTAGGATAAATCGGGCATTAGCAGTAAGCCGGTCCAGCTCAAGTCACTGCGAGGAAAGTTTGTCATTGGCTCAGTCCTCGACCACAGGCGTACCCCGCATTTGGTTGACGTATATAAAGTTTCCAACTGACGAACACAAAACCAAGAATGAAGCAATGGACGCGGTTTCGACAAACAAACATGTGCAATGCTTTCACTATCATCGTTGATGCCGGTCCTTCTCGAGTATCTCACGATCGAGGAGGAGGCGCAAATCTATCAGCAGTTTGAAGGAATATGCCAACCCAACAGCCAAGTCCTGTGGAGCGGCGTGCCGTACGGAGTGGCTCAGAAATGGGCAGATGAACATGATATGCAGACACTTACTACCGCAATGGGTCCGCTCATGGATAAAGCGGATTCATTGTGTTTAAAAAAGAGCAAGAACGGTCCGCAATGGAGCAAATACATCAAGGGAGCCTCTGC